AACGTCATCACAACAGAAAGTGCTAAGCAGCTACGACTCCAGATCTAATTTATCTTATAATTACGCTAATTAGGGACTCTCTGAAGAAAACTTTGCCTCACCATGCCTTATTGCTTTGCTGAGATTTTCTGACACTCCTTTCCAGTCCTCTTAGGTGGTAATCAGTGCGTGAGACCAGGGTTTTGTGGCACAAACTACTGATAACAATGGCAGTTGTTACCTGCCCGCAGCCCTCCCCGCCCCTATATGACTGCTGCTCCCACATCCCCCTTACCATGGTGTGTCCAGCGGCGTTTCCTTCCCGTTGGGATCAGTGGTGGCAGGTCTGTGCAGGAGCCTGGCTCTGGGCTGCAGGGTGGGAGGCACAGCCTGGGCCCAGCACCCGGCACCTGCTGCGGCGCTTCAGTGTCACAGCACGGTGGGAATAGGTCACCCTGCTGCACCACTGCCTCCTGCCCTCCCCACGCCCCACGTGAGCAAATCCACCCAGGCAGGGCTCAGACACACCCTAGACTTCAAAGTCAGTGCAGCCAGGTTTGGCACGCTTATTAAATCAAGAGCGTGGCCATGCAAAACACAGAACACTCTACTTTCAAGCACCTGAGGATTTTATATCACCTACCAGGCACGTGCCTTCCCCAGTCTCCTGTTCTGCCAATGTATACATGTGTAGATGAAAATCACTCCTAAGTTCGAACAGAGAAGGCATAAGAGAGCAAACAAATGGAAAAGAGAAGGGTAAAAGAGAAACAAAAATAAAGAACGGGAAAGTAAACATAATTATCATTCTGGAGTGTGCTCTACCAGTGCTCTTAAATGATCTTCTGGCTTCTCTATTAATGCCTCTCTATTAACATTTCAATTGATTCTTATTGCTTGTCTTCCTGTGCACAGTCATCCGGGCTGTCAGCAGTGTGGGACAGCATTCAGTACAGATTCTCACTCATCTGTCCAAACACAGAAAGAAATTTGATTCTTATTGCAGTGTTTATTGCAGGACAGAGCTGGAGGCATCACACCAACGTTCTGACACCAAATTAGGGCAGTTGCCTCCACCACTTTGCTCCTTCTGCACTAGTTCAACATTGGAATACAGCAGAGAAATCCTCATGTTTGCAATTCCTAGGTAACGAAGAGGAAGGCATGTTTAATTGCTTGAATCTGAGTGATATGTATCCCCTGACTTTATAACTGTACTGTTTATTATGATGTTTAATCAGCAGAAATTTAAATAGATAATTCCTAAAATGTAGGTTAGTCTACTTTGATGTGATGATATTAATAGATTGTTCTGCCGCTGTTGGCAACCATTTTCTTTAACATGTACATTTTAACAGTGAGAAATAGTTTATACTATTTTTTATAAACTCACATTTAGTTTGGTATAGTCTTTATTTTGCTGGTCTTTACATAAACCTGCAAATCACTACTGGCTAGGAAAAGCTAGAGGTTCCTAGAGCCACCTTTATTTTTTTACAGACAAAGAATTTCCATTATTATTTCTATCTGCTGCTTTGTTTAAGTTCAGTCTCACAGTTCTCCAGGAAACCATCAGATTGTTGCTTTGAGACTAAGGAATAGGTTGTTCTAGTGTTGTTGTTTTAGTGTTCTTCTTCCAGTGGAAGTGGTAACATTCCAGAAAACCTCTGGTGCTCCAGAGAATCTGAAATGTTAATGCTCACAGCTTCACCAGATATGAGCTCCGTGCCGAGCATCACCTCAGGAAAAAGTCTCCTGGCAAATACTTTGAGAAGTCCACCATTCAAACCTCTTAGGCACACTTGAAATCAACATGTCAGATCTAGCAGCTACAAAACTAAAAGAGCTCTGTGAATTACTAAATTATTTGCAACTTAGTCCTTTGTGGCATTTTCTCTGCTCTCCTCTAGCCAGTGGGAGTACAACGGTTAAATCTCTTCTCTCTAGAATCAATTGATCTTGAAGAGCCTGAGGATGAGCCAGGTTTTTATTTTTCCCTTTCTCACACCAGCTGATAAAAAGGCCCTTGTAAATCCACTCCAGAACTAAGACAATGCTTGATCTGCTCTGTCTTGAGTTAGCCCATAAACTCAAGTGCTGGAAATATGTGCAGGTCTGGGGTGAAGGCCAGACACAGATGTAAAAACTCTGAGGAAGACTCAGGCAGACTGTTTTTCATGAACTTTCCTGACATTGCTCTGTCCACCTGAGTGTGGAGTCCTTGGGCAGAAACCCCTCAGCCTGGAGTTAGAGGGTAACCCAAAAGCACATGGGGGACTGTGCTCCTGGGTACCAGTGAGTTTTGTTGACTCCAGAGTCAACCTCTGGGCTCTGCTCTGTGGAGACATGAGGCAGATATGGCCTGGACCTGGATGCTTGGAAAGTAAGTCATCCTGCTTCATGCTGGCATTCAACCTGTGTGGGAGGTGGTGTATGGCCATAGGAATCCTAAACCCTTTTTCTCTATTTACAGATAGACACATCTCTGAATGTGTCTATCAAAAATTTGTATTTCTGAATAATCTAGAACTTAGAGGTACTGTTGTGACAGTTTAACCCCAGCTGGCAACTAAGCACTGAATAAGAACAGTAAAGGAGAAAACCTGTGGGTTGAGATAAAAGTTTAATAAGTAAAGGAGAAGCTGCACAAAAGCAAAGCAAACCAAGGAGTTGATTCACCACTTCCAGTGGGCAGGCAGGTGTTCAGCCATCTCCAGGACAGCAGGGCTAACACCCTTTGGTCATTTGGGGTCAGCTGTCCTGGCTGTGTCCTCTCACAGTTTCTTGTGCACCCCCAGCCCACTTGCTGGTGGGCTGGTGTGAGAGGCAGAAAAGGCCTTGACTCTGTGCTAGCACTGCTCAGCAGTAACCAAAACATCCCTGAAGCACTAACAGTTTTCACCACAATCCAAAACACAGCCCCATACCAGCTACTATAAAGAAAATTCCTTCGATCCCAGCTAAAGCCAGCATGCCTGTCCACTCCACCAGATCTCAGGCTGAGAGAACCACTGAGTCCTGTGATCTACCAGTTCTGTTCTGACTGGAGATTGAAATACATCAGCAGGCGAATGAAGGACAGTTAACTCCTTTTTCTCCTCTACCAGATGTACATCACTCCCTACAGATTGGTTACCTAACTGACTCAGCAATAGTGTCAGAATCATGGATTATTTTAGAACAGTAATGTTCCATCTTACAAAACAGTGCACTCTTAAGAAGTTCTTTGGTGATCACACAAAACCCTCTTTTAACTTGGGGGGTGTAAGTCTTTGCAGTTCCCACACATTGTAAAACCTTCTCCAGTAAGTGAATGGAGATCTAAACACTTCCCTATGTTCCCTGTGGAACTGCTTTCTGACATTCTGTTGCCACCTGCTGGGAGAACTGACAGGCATTTCTGAAATCCCCAAGTCTGGTAACTCAATACCTGCATAACACTGCTATGTTGATAAAATACTGGCTTTCAGGCACTATCCCTCAAATAGAGAAAGGTGGTCTGTATTTTCAAAATTAATTATAAATAAAAAAAATTTAAGTACATGTTGGGATACAGTTGCAAAATAATTATCGCCTTTTTGGCAAAAATTGTCATATGCAAAATTTATCTACATAATTAAAAAATTTTAGAATTAGATCTGTACTTGTAGAATTTTCTCCCATAATGCAGCAAGTTCAGAACTATATTTCTAATATAAATATATATCCATCTTATAAAGATGAATACCAGGTACTTTATTCTTGGTAGTATTGTTCTTGGCCATCCCAAAATGCAGACTTGTACCCTACCAACATCATCAGTTGATTAGATCTTGTCAGATTCACACACTGAACAATTCCTGTATTTAGTTCAAATATGCCTGTACAATGAGGGCACATAGTGAAACATTTCTGGAAGTTATTTGAAAACTCTGATACACTTTGTAGTGTATTGATACACTTTATGTATCAATACATTAAACACAGAACTTTACATATACAATCACAACACAAATAAGAAACTCCACAAAGAGGCAAATCAGTAGTCACTTTATTATGAAAACTAGATATTGCAGTTTCAGTATTAATTGCAAAAAATCCCTGATAGCTTATTTCTGCCTTCTTGCCCTCTGCTGATGAATTAAATATAACACAAACATTGAATCAGTAGTACTCAAAAAAAGTGAGGGTTACCAACCTACACTTAAAGTTGAATGTTAAAGTCCTGGTAAAGGACTGGCTGTGACATTTAACAGCATACTAAACATTACATATGGCTTGCTGAAACCACTGGTCCCAACTTCCAAGATTGATGCTAGAAGACTAGAGCAAAAAGTCTTCCTTACCTACACAGCCAGTTTGGTGAGAATTTGGCCTGACTTCAGAGTGAAGTTTGCTATTTTGTCAACTGGCTTACAAAGGACTTAAGGTGAGGCCTTGCAAAGCAGGAAGCCAGTAGACACATCCTGGTCATTTCTTCAAAGAGCTCAACTCCAGACAGAGCTTCTGTGTTTTACTCTACCTGGTTTCCCATCAACTGTTGCTTGCAGAACTGTAACTACACTTAGAGGTGGCTTACAGGAACCATTTAGCAATATCAAAGGCAGTTCTTCCCTATGTGTGCAGAGTGTATAACAAATAATTTCTTTATATGGTGAAACACTCTATCCTGGTGTAGAGTCCTGGCAGAGACAAAAACTCTGGGGTGGGATATGGGATTGGTTTTGGTTTTACTCTTGAGACAACCTGGCAAGGTCATCACTGCATTCCTGAATGACCTGGCCCAGTTTGTCTGACAGTAACGCTGGAGCGTTTCACTTATTGGGATAATACAGGATTAAACAGACAACTGTTTTTAGCAGTGAAGATGGAACTGTTTTCAAAGTGTAGTTCCTGGCAGACAGCAAAGCAACAGGTCACACACAGTTTGAAGGTGCCAACAGGCCACCCCTGTGAAATAAAAAAGGAACAGCCACCACCTCGAAGTATGGTTATTGCTAGAGACAAAGGGCACTACTGTGGTAAGACACCACACTGGAATCTACATTGGCTGAAAGCAATATTTTATTAGGTCAGTGCTCTCTCCTTGGAATTTACCTTTTGTCAATCCATGATGGATGGATGGAGGAGAAAATAGTTCTACCCCAAACCTCCAATGTCTGCCCCAAGTGGTCAGAAATGGAGTTGGTCTGGTGACAGATCTGCAGGTGGACTGATTTTCTTGCCACTGATCTAGGGAAGATCTTGGGATCTCAGAGAAGTACCTCTTTCTATAAAAATAAACTTTTGTTCTGAGTGACAGAGCATTGTTAAATGGCTCCCACCTAACTTTGGATACTGGGGGGGCAATTCTAGACATACAGAGATTTTCTGTATGTCTACATAAACAAAGCAAGAGGTAGGGAAAGAGTAAAACAATGCAACAACTTCAGTTGTTCAACAAGACAATAACACAGAATATAGTTTAAAAAAATAAATCTATTTCCTTACCACCACCACGTGCTTCTAAGAATGACTATGCATCAGGCAAGCACAAAGTGCTGTAATTTGCATTTAAGAAGAGTAGATACCAGCACATGCTAACAGTCTTTGTGTCCCACCACCATGGCTTTCTGGCTTAAATATGACTAAAATCCAGTGTGCCTATGTAAAGAGGCATCAGTCACAAGAGAAAACATGGCCTTCAAAATGCAATAGGCTCGACTTTCTCCAGTGTTTTTCTTTCACATGCTTGTCCTAAATCCCATGTTGCAGGAACTGGGCTTTTCAAATGTCTTCAGGCAAAACAGAATATTCCCCTAATCACTGGTACTCCATTGCCTTTTACAGTCATGCCTCCAGGAAGATTATTTCACTTGTTCAGAGAACTGCTCAGCATTCACAAGGATGAAACCTTCTTCCATAGTTCATAACTGGCTACACAAACCTCAAGCTACATCCAAAACAAAGGGTTTGAAAAGGAGGATTCTTATTCAGCTGTAGATAATGGAAGAAGTGGCTTTACCCTGGGTTGGACAGGGCCAAGAAAAATGCCAGGAATATTTGTGGTTTCAAATTCCCTGTCTGAAGAAATTAAGGTATCACCACCCAGGAGTCCACAGTTGGTCATCTCAGATTTCAGCAGTTCTCGAAGAGCCTGGTAACATCCTCAAGACAAGCTGACACTTCTAGTGATGGAAGACACTTAGTCTCGAATTGGAGGCCTATGGATTGGAGAAAGTACAGCTGCCCAAGCCTGTCGGAAGAGCTGGACCAGTTTATAAATGAACGGCAGTGATGTGGGAGAAGCTGCAAAGCAGAACAAAAAGCAAAAGAGCCCTTCATTACAAAAGGTAAAAACTGAGATACACTAAACATATTAAGAACATATTAAGAAAAAGCTAATCCCAACTAGAATTAATCAAAACCTAGTTCTCTTACTTCCCTCTGTTCAGGCTGAGTCTAGAATAGCTCTGCTTGCCTCTCACAGTCTATACCTTGTCTGATCAAAAGAGCTGAGGATGGAATAACTGTTTTCAGAAAACTGGTGTTTGTAGAGCTTCATCTTTCTATACGGACTGCAACTGGAAACATTAGAAACAAGCCTGACACTAAGTTCCTTCTCACCCAGTTTTTGTGTCTCCCTAAGATGAGACATTTACACAGACCAAATCTATTAAAAGCAACTCATTTCTTCTCCATAATCATAATGGAATTTTTAAAATTGGATATCTTAATCCTGTACCTGGGTCTAACCTCACCACCACCAGGTACAGCAGAAAAGTAGCCAAGAGCATCTTCTTGTAAGGAAGTAAATAGAAGTGGCTTGACATGGACCTCAGTGCTCTACGTAGCAATGTTAACATGGTCAAGAGCTTTTGAGACAGAGCTCCTGTAAAACAAGAACAGAAAGGCTGTTAGGGCAAAGTAAAGTTTAAATAGTAATCACATAGATAATAAGAAACTAAGATACTAGAAGTCTGATTGCATGAGGGCTGGGTTGGGTTGTTTGGGGGTTTTTTTATAATAGGGCACAGAGACACAGTACCATTTTGTAATACAATTCATTATAACTTTTTTTTTAAGCATGTACTTTAGTATGATATGATCTTGTACCACAGCAGTGCCAGCCTCTCTCCTGAAAGATAACGCCAAGTGATTTATAGTTGTGGAGAAGAAGCAGTACTTTAAATGCTAGACATACATTGTTCCATGGACTCAACTGCAAATGGAAATGAAGCAAAGAGCACACAGAGCCAACAAAATCTACCCTTAAAGGACTGCTAGGTAGTTTTAGCTTTCCTTTTTACCTTAAAAAAACCCTCCACATTTATTCTAAAGTGCTTTTGTACCTGGACAATACTTCTCATCTCCTGATGTTAGCAGAGACTAAACACACTTTGCAATTGCCAGCAAAGGGACAGTCTTTTATTTCCTGCTGTGATACACAACGGGACTTCCTCACAGCTGGTGTGTCATGCCAATGTTCTTAATGCATAGTTAATGCTCGCTACCCTTTGCTACCAAGGGACCAATTTGAAATAAAACTATAAAAAAGAAGCTCAAACAAGAGAGGCAAAGCCTACCCAAAACACTTTCTGTGGCTGCGTCGTGCTGCTCTTCAGCCACCGAGCGCATCTCTTCCTGCTGAGTCCACTGACACCGGCTCTCGCCAATGGTGCCAAGGAATGCCAGCTGCTGCTCGCTGTCCAGCACGTCACAACCACGGACAAGCTCTTCTGCGCCCTCAAACCGGCCGAGCGGCAGCAGCACTTGCAGCAGATAGAGCTCCAGCAGGGAACTGTACTCGGAGAGGCTCTTGTTGGTTTGGTCTCTCAGCCAGCTGCTGCCAACCTCCAGCATCACCTGGGGCTCTCCCACTTTGCTGTACAACAGGATACTGGAATACAGGGAAAAAATATTAGGAAGTACTAACTCTTCGTAAAAGCTGAGATGGCTGACAGTTACTGCCCACAAGCAGCTATCATAAGGATAGGAATCAGGGTCTACACCTGAAGCACAGAGAGATTTCTGCAACACACAACAGTGACAACACAGCCACTGATGTTACTCTCTCAGCATCACCCCTTTTGTACCACCATGAAGCAACCTTGCAGGCATGCTCTAGCACTCACAGGTCAAGAACAGACTTGTCCCAGATCTCACCTTCATCCTCACTTACACCATGCAAAGTGGGGATATCACGTAATACTCAAGCCTGGCCTGCTGTTAAACCTAAAGCAAGCCCTGTGTATATCTGACAGCAACAGACAGAAACTCACCACAGCTCCAGAACTTTTGGAGGCAGATGTTCAGGGACATGGTAATACTGTAGGACCCAAGACAGAACTTCCCTCCACCGGTTCATCTCAGCCAGTGCCTGAATCCCCACAACACAAAGGGAGCATTTCACTTCTGCAGAACTGGTAATGAAGAGATACTTAAATAAGTGCTTCTTACAACCACATTTCCCCTTGCATCCCTTCCAGTGAGCTGCAGCCCAGCCCAGGGACTCCACAGTTCTCTGGCAGCTGCTCCCCCACCTTTTCTAGTCCTTGCCCCCCATAAAAAGGAAAATTCGACCTCGAGAAGATCCACTGAGCCTGTATCTCTGGGAGAACAGAGGGGAGGCTCCTGGGCACACCTCGCTTCCCTCAAACACGCACAGATCCATTCCCATGAAGCGTGTTAATACTGACAGGCCATTATCAAATAGCAGCCAAAGCCAGGTCAAGTTTTACATGGATAGTAACTTGCTTTCTTAGCGACGAGCCCATCCTCCCTTAATTTGGATAATTAAGAAAAAAAGCTGTGCAGAGCCACAGCAAGGACCGTCGGTGCTACTGCCATTCATACATATAACATTTATACCCGAATCTAAGAGGCTCCTAATGCCCGGGGGGTGGAGGAAGTTAAACTTTATTTTTAGAAGTTATTATTTTTTACTAAAAGAAAATGAAACCCAAAAAGCCATCTATTAGGAAAAAAAGAAATGAAACGCCCAAGGAGGGCAGGCACGGCCAGCCAGGCCGCTTCCCAGCGCCACCCCGTCCCCTCCGCACGCCCGGCACCCGCAGTCGCACCTCTCGGGGCCGTGCCCGGGCCCGGGGCCGGCTCCCAGGCTCTCGCAGCCCGCCTCACACCTCTCCACGGCGGCGGCGAAGTCCCGGTGCAGCACCAGCAGATCCGCTGCCTCCTCCAGCAGCGCGGCCGCCTGTGCCTGTGCCGGCGCGGGGCTCCAGGCGGGCGGCTCGCCCCGCATGGCGGGAGGGGCTGCGCGGCACGGCCCTCCCCGCACCCGCACGGCTCCGGCTCCAGCTCCGCTCCGGCTCCGGCTCCAGGCGCGCCAACCGCCCCGCCGGGGCCCGGCTCCGCTCCGCTCGGGCTGCCACCGGAACAACGAGAGGGAACCCCGGCCCGCCGCCTCCCTCCGGCAGCGGAAGGGCCGCCCCGCCGGGCATCTTCTCCCGGCCCCCGCGGGCCGGCGGGACGTGTAGTCACCTGCGGCCGGGACCGGCGGCTGCGGGGAGGGCAACGGGGATGGCTGGGGGACTGGAGCGTCTCTCTTTACGAGGAAAGGCTGAGGGAGCGGGACCTGTTTTCAGCCTTGAGAAGAGGAGGCTGAGAGAGGAATTTTATATATATATTATATATATATATATATACACACACAATATATGTATAAATCTCTAAAGGTGGGGTGCCAGGAAGATGGAGCCAGGCTCTGCTCGGTGGTGCCAAGCAATAGGATACGAGGCGACGGGCAGAACCTGATGCACAGGAAGTTCCACCTTAACAGCAGGAAGGACTTCTTTACTGAGCGGGTGACCGAACAGGTTGCCCAGAGGTTGTGGAGTCTCCTCACTGGGGATGCTTGAGAACCATCTGGACACAATCCCGTGCCCTGTGCTGTGGGATGACCCTGCTTGAGCAGGGAGGTGGGACCAGCTGACCCGCTGTGGTGCCTTCCAGCCCGATCCATTCCGTGATTCTGTCGCTCTGCGGGGGTCAGCGGTGGAAAGCGGGGTCTCGGGGGGCGCTCCGAGAGGCTCTGGCCGCAGCTGGAGCGCGGCTGTGCCGGGGCCGGGGTCGGTGCCTGTCCCTGCCGAAAAAAAACGCCTCTTCCTCCAGTTCCTCCCTCGTGTGGCTGCGAGGGGAAAGGCCGAGCGGCGGGTCCCGCCGCCGCTGTTCTCCCCGCGGCCGCCGGGCGTCAGCCCAGCCCCGAGTGTGTCCCAGCCGAGCTGGCTGCGGCTTTCCTCCTCCTGGCCAGGCACCGGGAGAAGGAGTTTGGCGCGGTGCTAAAGGGAAAGCGCTCCCCACAGCTCCAGCAGCACCGCCGGGGCGGGTGATGGATGCCCTCCGCTCCTGGCCGCCTCTTCCTCCGGGGACTTCTCGGGCATCTCGCGTCCGCAGTTTTAAGCACATTACGCTGTTAATGGAGTTCGGGCAAAATAACAGTGTCTCCATCAGCGCCCGGCAAGGCAGCGATTCACATTCTTCTTCACTTGTTATTTAAAAACAACAGGGTGTCTTGGTAACAAGGTAATTATGGCAGTCAGCTCAAAACGCTCTTCAAAAATTAATCTCTGCAGGAGAGGCAGGATTGATTTATCTTGTAATCCTGTCCCTCTACTATCATTATTTAATTAAAAAAAACAAACAAGATAACGCAAAACATATTAAAGAGTGAAACACATCCTTGAAAGGGGAGTTTCTATGCCATTTCAGTGTTGGCAGCAGGGAAGAAAGTGTGGAGAATATGATTAAAAACTTGATCTCAACTCTTTGTCTAAGTAGCTATTTCTGTGAGGCAGGGCCATGTACCTGCCCCTCACGGCAGCAGCAGGAGCACTTTGCAGGAGCAGCTTTTACACAGTGGTGGATCCAAAGGGTTTGCACACTGCCATTAACTGTGGAAGAGGTTCCTGAAGGATTTGGGCTGGTTAAGGTGAAACCACAGCACAGAAACTGCTAAAGGAAGGGCCCAGCAGCTAAGCAAAGGCAGAGATAAAGGCGTCTCAAGACTTCTGTTTCTATTGCTTAGCGTTTGCAGTTTGGAAAACAACATTCCTTTTTGGGAACTACAAGTCCCAAAGTGCACTGTGGGAAGAACGTCCCTCGTACCAGCTAGTGCCCAGTACAAATTCCCAAATATGGATAAGGAATCAATTTTGAAAAAGACTCACACTGGCTGGATGCTCCTCACTGAGACTCAGAAAAGGAGTGAGGCAGCACAAAACCAAGGTAAGTTTGAGATATGCAAAGCTACCGTTCAAGAGTTTCTTTCATGGGGACCAGCCAAGACTGTTCTGTCCCTTAGAAGGGCAGCACTGCATTGCTCTGGTGATGTTGGATTTAGGTGCTGTAGTCATGGAGGCGACTTTTGGAACGGGACTGTTGTTTCAGGTGGGAGAGTGAGCAGCAAGAGCAGCTGTGCTGCCGAGTGAGTCAGATCCTGTTTCCCTGCAGATGCTCCTTTATTAATAAAGACCTATGGAAAGATAGCGAGTTGCAACACTGATGCAGTTATTTTAGAGGCCAGGAAGGGTCAGGGAGAGGTAGGAGTTGCTCTGAAGAGCGGCTCTGTATGAGTTGCAGTGTGTGGTTGTTTAAGAAGCCGAGGTGGACAAGCAGCCCTATAATAACAATAATTTTAGGTTAAATTAATTTCTCTGCAAGGTATGGTAGAATGTTTTTGTACTTCACCCCTTTTCCTAGAGGGGACAGTGTGGTTCCTTGAAGGCCAAAGCTCTTGCAGCTCTCTGACCTGCAAATAACAGTACCTCAGTAACAGGATTGTTTAACTTCAGGCCAGGAACAATTACCTATTTTACTAGCAATTTGTTAACAAGCAAAATGAAATCGTTCTGAAATATAATCATCTCAGTGGAGATGAGAGATGCTTGAGCTCCATTCTCAGGCACACGCGAAGCCTTGGTCTGGTCACAGGCAGTGTCAGCTCCTGCCTCTTTCTCTCCCTGGCAGTCAGACTTCTTCCTTGTGCAGCTCAGATGCAGTGTGTGGACACTCTTCTGGGTGACGTCAAGAGCAGCTGGTCAGCCTGATCCATCGTCCCAGCACCCTCCTCCTACTATGTAGGGTCATGGAGCAGCAGAGTTGGCACAGCAGAGTGCTGCAGATGTAGGAGGTGCAGTCCAGCCCTGGAGAGGAGCCTGAGACTGTTTGGGCTGGTGAACCAAACTGTCACATGGATACTCATCACCAAATAAGAATGATGCTGTTTTTCCATCTTTCCTTAAATGCGAGCAGCTTGAACTGTTTTTAAAGCTGAAAGAGTCCCTCTTGTACTTGAATCGGCCTACACAGCAGGGCAATCTATACTACCACAGGAAAACTGGAGGAAAGCAGCGTGTGTGCCTGTGCTCGTGGATAACAATTTCTAGTAACCAGAAAAGCTGAAGTCAAGCAAACTTACTGTCAGTGACAGGTAGTGTGAGGGAGTATCACAGTGGATTTTGTGTCCTGGGTGGGATGTCAATGCCCCAGCTCATCATCTTTTATCTGAAATCAAGGAGGTTTTTTCCTGTGGCCATCCTGATTTTGTATAGAAAAAGAAAAGTGAGTTTCAGAGAGGCCTTGTTTGTGTCTGCATCATCTGTGGATTTGCTGGTTCCCCTCCTCCCTCTCCGGCCAGGCAGTTCGAGAAGAGTTTAGAGTTACAAGCACCTGTAACAAGGCCTCTTGAGGTAAATCGCCTCAACTATTAATCCAGATCTGACTGGCACACGGTCACAGGGCCAGAGGGCTGGCAATCAGTCTTTTTCTGTGGTCTCTTCTGTGTCAGTAGGCTGTTAATAGGAGATTAGCTGCATTAGGGAGACTTTGAGCTAGAAATGGTGAGGCCCTAAGATTTGATTTGAAGAGAAAGAAACCCTCCTACACCCATATAAAAACAAACAGAAGAGCTGGAAATTTTAAAAGGCATTATAAACACAACATAGGAAAGGATAGTTTCTAGGAAAGATGTGGAGCTCTGTAGTACACTGTAGCTTTTTAGCAACACTTTAATAAAGCAATGAGGTCCCTGGAAACCTCAGGTCCCAGCATGCAGCACTGTGTCCTTACCACCACGTGCTTTTGTTTGGGTCTGGCGAGACCATGACGTGCTGGAATCTGCAATTTGTTTGTAATTTCCATCAGCAGTAAATCCCTATTAAATATTAAGCTAGCTGGCTGCAGATCCCTTCAATTAGCCCAGATTCAGGACTTCCCTAGCTCCTGGCAGGCGGTCCTCGGAGCCCTGGGTTGGGTGAAGGTGAAGGCTTTGAGGCTATGCCTTGAACAGATGGTGATGCTCTGCTTTCTTATCTTACCGAGCACGATGGCACAGCATCAAACCTATTTTTTTTTGTTTCAAAAATAGAACTAGTAAGAGGCAAATCACCTGATTTTGAGCCCACCTGCTGATGTTCCTAGTTGCTGTCTTTAAAAGCAGCAGTCTCTTATTTTGGCCATACACAAACCCATATAAACAACAGGTGACGACAGTGCCAGGCAGAAAAGACAACTGCAGGGGTAGTCACAGCCACAGTCCAACTGGGGAGGGATCACATACCATGAAAGTATGAGCAAATCTGTTTTAACCTTCATCACAAACACTGTATAAGGTGTAAATACTGGAAACTGGGAAACTGGAATCACAGAGTTGTATCCATGACTTGTAGAAACTTGAGTTTTACTCAGATAATGACAAAATCTTTCTGAAACAAAGGGCAATTTTAAGTTGATTAAGTCTCTTTCTTTGCTCCATAATCAAATAAAATACCAGCCTTGGCAAGGCAGCCCTCAAAGAATAGCAGCAGTTACTTTTGATTTCATTGTTACTGTTATAATAGTCATAATTAGTGCTGCGTGGGGCATTTCATAGCTGTAAGGTGACCAATTTGGTTAAAGGCCTAAGGCATCTTCTTTTCTGCAGCTAGCTATTATCTGTGAGAAAATACTAAAGCCTGTCATCACTGGAGGTCAGTTACACCCTGTTTGCCTAGCACAGCATCTCTTTGCTCACTGCTTTAGAGTCACAACCCTTCTAACAGTTAATACCTCCTCTCAGGGCCAACTTGCCAAAATCAACTGTCACCTATTAGTCTCCAGCTTTCCTATTTTTAAAAAGCAAACCTTGTGCTCTCATGGTCAGGAGAAGGGCTTGATAGTGCGAATCCTGGAAGTGTTTGTACCACGGGGCAAACGAGGCAATTGGAGAAAACGTTTTTTCTTGTTTTGCACTTCCTAACATCTCAG